TTCTTGAAGATGGGGACCACATTTGCTACCTTCCAATCATCTGGCACCTGGCCCAAGCACCACGATCGCTCATAGAGCCGTGCCAGGGGCCCTGCAATAACCCCAGCTAGCTCCCTCAACACCCTGGGGTGGAGAGCATCCGGACCCGCTGACTTGAACGCGTCCAGCCCCTCCAGAAGCTCTCTAACCCGGTCCTCCCCAACCTGAGGTCTGAAGGCGATCCCCTCGAGTCTGGCTTATCTAAATGTCACCTTATCTAATGCTGAAGGTACCTACCCTCTCATGATCATTCATTATTAGTGCTAACTCATGATTAGGTACCACTGTAATGGATTTCCAGTTACCAGCAGTGATGAAACACTTTTTTTGGTTGTTCAAGTAATGGTACATTTGCCCTTTTTTATAGATCTAAAATGATCTGTTTCTGATACTGAAAAACTGTATTTCTGTACTTAATGACTGTACAGTCACAGACAGTACAGAACGCAGTGGTCACCTATTGAGCTAACTAAAGGAAGACTATTATTACTTCAGTTGCCAGTCCAGTCCCATGTGTAGTTTTTAAAGCTGTTCTCTTAGAGATTGAACATACAGTTCCCTCCTGAATTCTAACCTATAATAGTGATATTATTGGGTTTCATTTGCATTGTTTCTCACTAATTCTATATTACATAATCTCAGTTTATAAATAAGACATATTTTCTTGCTGCAAGCTCTGAAAATTCACTGTGGAATGTGAAAGAAAAGCTGGTTTCACTTTTCATAGGAATCACCATCATTTTTAGAGATTTTGTTGTATTACAGGTTGGAAATTTTCTGGCAGAATATTTTTTCCATCAGGAAATGCTAATTCACCAAAAGCAAAATGTTACACAGAAATATGTAGAGAGTTTAAGGTAATTTCATTTAGAAAAAAAGCAGGATGTACCATTTCTGTTTCAAAATTATAGTTTTACAGTTTCTAGGGTCAGAAGGGACCTGAACAGATCATCAGGTCCGACCCCCTGGGCAGGAACAAGTGCTGGCATCATAATACCCCAGCCAGATATCTATCCAACCTCCTCTTGAAGACCCCAAGCTAGGAGACAGCACCTCCCTTGGGAGTCCATTCCAGAGCCTGGCAGCCCTAACTGTAAAGTAATGCCTCCTGATATCAAGCCTGAACCTGCTCTCACTCAATTTGTGGCCATTATTCCTTGTTATCCAAGGTGGTGCCCGGGGGAACAGAGCCTCACTTATTTTCCACATAAAATTATGTTTTATTATGTGTTCTACTCTATAGTATAGAATCCATATAATAAGTCCAAAAAATTCAAGAGGAAAATTTTCAGAGCTTCAAACTCTGCCCCTGCACTCCCCCCTCCAGCCCCTCCCCCCTGAATTTTGTACCACAAGAAATCTTGATTTTCTTTCTTTCTTTCTGGATTGGTTCCATTTGCTGTGGATGGATTAAATCACAGAATTCCTAATGAAATGAGAAATATAGGTCCTGGCGAGTGAGAACTGCATAATACCACTGTTTTCAAATTATGTCTGAGGTATACCTGATAAGCTTTAATAATGGCTAAAGGGATTTCCCATGTGTAGCTAATATAAAACCAGCAGTGTTAAATATGTGTTTTATCTCTAGATTCTTTATATATATATATATATATAATAGTGATTAGATATGGGAATGAAAGAACTCAGATTAACTTTCAGAGTTTATAACAAACTACTAGGGTACTCATAAGTATCTTTTTGCTTATGAGTTCAGAAAAATTGATTGGGAGTTAATTAGTTAATACTGGATGCATCTACATGTGAAATTAAATTCAACACTTATTGCACCAGTTTATTGCTCCCAAGCACAGCATTTACATGTGTGCCCGGGGCCACAGCACATTGAGCTAGGGTGACACTGGCCCAGCTGCCAGGTTGTCCAGAGAGCCAGTCTGATAGCTCAGGGCTGCTTCTGTCCAGCTCATGCTTGCAGACCTGGCTGGGGCACAAAGTGTGGGGCTAGGCAGCAGGCAGCCCTGCGTTGTAGCACTCTGGTGCCCCAGCCAGCCCTGGCCACCATCTATATGTGGATTGTGGCAGAGTAAATAACTCCACCATAGAATGTCTTTTATTAGACCAACTAAATAGTTGGAAAATTGTTCACTGCTAGTTTTCAGGCACAAACACGCTTCTTCAGGCATAGGGATAGTCTGCTGTTTTGTGTTCTTCTGGACAGAATAGAAGCCAATATACAAAATGCAGGTCTGTAAAAACAAATGTGTGGCAATGAGGATCAGAGGCCATGAGAGACAAGAGGTGTGAGACAGGTAGGTGTGGGGGCGGGGGGAAGGGGTAGAGGGAAGGAGGAGGAATGCTGACCTGGTGATAGGATGTAGCTGGTAAAATATAGAGAGGTTACCTGGGGCTATCAGATTGCAGGCAGGTTATAATGTGTCATAAATCCAATGTCTACATTTAGTCCATGATTTTTTGTATCCAGTAGATTTATTAAGTGAAGTTCATAGGCTCGTCTATGAAAGGTGTGTTGTAAATTCCTTTTGAGGAATAGAACTGAGAGAGTGGTTATCTTGTGAGAAGTATGCACTCACAGGTAATTGGGTATTTTTGTCTGCGATGGATATCCGGTGTGCATTCATTCTGGGGCACAGTTGTTGTTTGGTTTTTCCTACATACTACCAAGTTTGCACTGAGGAGAACAACTGTGATTGTCACCTTATAAATCTCAAAATGGCTTCTACTCAACAAGGACACTCCTCCAGAGCGATAGATCACACATTTGAAAGAGCTACCTGGATACTATATGAAGAACTGCTGCAGTACAAAAAGAAAAACTCCACTAATCACACACCATTAGTTATGACATATCATCCTTCCCTGGAACCTAAAAGGAAAATCCTCAAACAAGTGCAACCCATACTAGAAGAAGACCCAGTCCTTAAAGAGATCTTCCCAGAACCACCCATCCTAGCCTTTAAACAAGAACCAAACCTCACCAATCTCATCACCAGAAGCAAACTTCCTATAGCATTCTATCTCTCTAGAGACGTGTCCTTGTTGAGTAAGCCCTTTTGAGATTTGCAAGGTGACTATCACAGTTGTTCTCCTCAGTGCAAATTTGGAGCAATCAGAGGGCTTGGCTGTATATTACAACATTCTTGGTGTATTTAAGTTGATTGCTGGTTCTGTGTAGATATGGATGTTGGTCAGTAGGTGGTTTGTATTTTACCATTCTGGATATTGATCCAGGTGTCTAAAGAGGAAACATTGGTCCTGGAATATTCAAGAGATAGTCTGATAGAAGGATGATGATTATTGAATTTGTGGCGGAAATCAGAGATTGCAGGTTTTCAGTTCAAATGATGAATAAGTCATCTATATATCTTAAATAAAGCATAGGTTTGATGGTGCAGTTCTTGAGGAATTCTTCTTCACTGAACCTTCCCAATCTCATCACCAGGATCAGACTTCCTATGGCCAAAGCACACTGAATGGATCAAGACCATGCTGGAACAAGAAATGTAAAACTTGACAACATATGTCCACCACTCCCACAGAAACTACACATCACAATAGTACCATCACCATTCCTGGATCTTACACCTGCATGTCCAGAAATGTAATAGATCTAATCTAGTGCACTAAATCCCCTGATGGAAAATATGTAGGATAAACCAAAAAACAGCTGTGTACCAGAATGAATGCACACCAAAAATCTATCAAAGACAAAAATAACCAATTACCGGTGAGCACACACTTCTCACAAGACCCACCCCTCCACCTCCAATCTCTCAGTTGTAATCCTCGAAGGGAATTTACAAAACAGTTAATTAGTTTACTACAGCCTAATAGCACTGCTCATATAGATGGTGATGCTTTACTGCAGAGCTAATTAGGCAACTCCACAGTAAGTGCCCTCATGCCCCAGCCATCCCCAGTCACCACCTACATGT